ATAATTTATTTTTTTTGTCAAAGCTACAGGGAGACACTGGAGTGGGGCTAAAGGGCTACATTTGGAGCTGTAGGTTGTCTACACATTTTAACTGAAGATAATATAATCAGATTTAACCCCTTTGTAATCACCGACAGTTGAGTAGCAACTCTAATTAATCATATTTTTTTCCTTTCAGGAACTGTAGCTTATTAAAATCAATTTATTTTGTGGTGTTATTACAAGTAACTAATCACATGTAACTAGTTACTCCCCAACACTCATGAAAAGTAGTCACAAGACCCATCCCAATGTCACTCACAACTAAAACCATTGTCTTTAGCAAACTGAGAAACTTTAAGTTGTGACAGTGAAAATGTCCCTCCCCCCCTCCTCTGACACTCTTCATTTGTTTGGTATGAAAAGCAATAAAAGAAATAAATGCTTCAATTTCAATGTTCAACTTGTCACTTTTATTTTGAAGAGAATAAAAGTATTTCCGGTTCCGCCTGCCTCCGCTGTGTCAGCTTGACTCAGCTCAGGTCTTGCTGCAATCTTGAACGGTGGTGACTGATGAGTGCAGTGTTGTGGAGTCGCCTGGATCTTTCTTCATTTTCCTACTTTTACCCGGTGTCTCACGGAACATTTCGTCCAGAGGTGAAGCTTCACACGTCGGTCCAAGATGTCGGTGGCCGGGCTGAAGAAACAGTTCCACAAAGCCAGTCAGGTACGGAGACGCCTGTTATTGCTCCTTCATAACAACAATTGTTTGGATGTGGACCATGTTTGCTGCTAACGATGATGATGATGATGATGATGATGGTGGGCTTCAGGTGATTACAAAACATTAAAAGTAGCCAACTTTAAAGTGTTACCTGTAACTGTTTTGGATTTAGGCGCCAAATCAGACAACGTTTCAAGCTAATCAGTGTAACGGTACTTTTTAATTCGGACAAGTTCGATCAGTCAACGTCACACCAAACCCCGTTGAAAAATCCGTAAATTAAAAGTATTCTCGCCTACAAGCAAACACATTTTCATTATTTGAGTAATTTTTAGATCATATACGAAACAACAAAGCCCTGTGAATAATTCGGCATCATTATTGACGTTTTAAGTCTTTACCTCGAAACGCACTACTTCAATAAAATCTGAAATGTTAACGTAGACCTTGTTGCTGTTGTTCCCAAGCTAGTACCGTTACCGGTGACAAGAAAATGGAAATATCATAATATCAGATAGAGCTATTAGATAAGTGAAAATATTAATGACAAAAATTGGTTTATTGAATTTATATGGTTAAAAATCTAGCTACGGTATAAAAGTTAACATCACACATTTCCTGCTGGAGTTTGGCGTGACGTTATCTTGATAGGTGAGATAACAGAATCTCTGTCTGTACATGTGACAGACCTTTGGAGGAAACCACACATAGGCTGCTTCACTGTATGAAGGAGATATTACAGGGGTGAAGTCAGGTGATCTGAGGCTTAAGGTTCAAATGGGAAAAAGATGGTTTTACATCTTGGGCTCTTTAAATAGAAGCAGCCAGTCACTGCACATGATATTGCATCACTACAAATGTGCTTTACATGAAACAATCATATTGATTGGTCTGAGATAACAGATTCAAAAATCACTGGACTTGCCAGGACAGACATGTGGCATGTTGATTTTCTCCTTTTGGTAATAAGAGGACTGTCGCTTAAATAAGAGTATAGAGACAAAAGTGCTGTCAAAATATTTTCCAAATACAGGTAACATTTTATGGGAAAGGAGTGAGCACTTAATGCATTTAGCTAAAATGGGTAATTTTTCTGTAGTGAAACCAGCATGTTTTGGGGCGGCTGGGTCCCATATGTGCCACTCTGTAATGTTACAGACATTTTTAGTATTGTTGTCACTTAAAAAGGTGATGTAGTGACAGTGGCATAAGGTAGTTAAGATGGGCCCTAATGCATCATGAAGCAAACACAGATATATATATATATGCAGTACAGGCCAAAAGTTTGGACACACCTTCTCATTCAATGCGTTTTCTTTATTTTCATGACTATTTACATTGTAGATTCTCACTGAAGGCATCAAAACTATGAATGAACACATGTGGAGTTATGTACTTAACAAAAAAAGGTGAAATAACTGAAAACATGTTTTATATTCTAGTTTCTTCAAAATAGCCACCCTTTGCTCTGATTACTGCTTTGCACACTCTTGGCATTCTCTCCATGAGCTTCAAGAGGTAGTCACCTGAAATGGTTTTCCAACAGTCTTGAAGGAGTTCCCAGAGGTGTTTAGCACTTGTTGGCCCCTTTGCCTTCACTCTGCGGTCCAGCTCACCCCAAACCATCTGGATTGGGTTCAGGTCCGGTGACTGTGGAGGCCAGGTCATCTGCCGCAGCACTCCATCACTCTCCTTCTTGGTCAAATAGCCCTTACACAGCCTGGAGGTGTGTTTGGGGTCATTGTCCTGTTGAAAAATAAATGATCGTCCAACTAAACGCAAACCGGATGGGATGGCATGTCGCTGCAGGATGCTGTGGTAGCCATGCTGGTTCAGTGTGCCTTCAATTTTGAATAAATCCCCAACAGTGTCACCAGCAAAACACCCCCACACCATCACACCTCCTCCTCCATGCTTCACAGTGGGAACCAGGCATGTGGAATCCATCCGTTCACCTTTTCTGCGTCTCACAAAGACACGGCGGTTGGAACCAAAGATCTCAAATTTGGACTCATCAGACCAAAGCACAGATTTCCACTGGTCTAATGTCCATTCCTTGTGTTTCTTGGCCCAAACAAATCTCTTCTGCTTGTTGCCTCTCCTTAGCAGTGGTTTCCTAGCAGCTATTTGACCATGAAGGCCTGATTGGCGCAGTCTCCTCTTAACAGTTGTTCTAGAGATGGGTCTGTTGCTAGAACTCTGTGTGGCATTCATCTGGTCTCTGATCTGAGCTGCTGTTAACTTGCTATTTCTGAGGCTGGTGACTCGGATGAACTTATCCTCAGAAGCAGAGGTGACTCTTGGTCTTCCTTTCCTGGGTCGGTCCTCATGTGTGCCAGTTTCGTTGTAGCGCTTGATGGTTTTTGCGACTCCACTTGGGGACACATTTAAAGTTTTTGCAATTTTCCGGACTGACTGACCTTCATTTCTTAAAGTAATGATGGCCACTTGTTTTTCTTTAGTTAGCTGATTGGTTCTTGCCATAATATGAATTTTAACAGTTGTCCAATAGGGCTGTCGGCTGTGTATTAACCTGACTTTTGCACAACACAACTGATGGTCCCAACCCCATTGATAAAGCAAGAAAATTCCACTAATTAACCCTGATAAGGCACACCTGTGAAGTGGAAACCATTTCAGGTGACTACCTCTTGAAGCTCATGGAGAGAATGCCAAGAGTGTGCAAAGCAGTAATCAGAGCAAAGGGTGGCTATTTTGAAGAAATTAGAATATAAAACATGTTTTCAGTTATTTCACCTTTTTTTGTTAAGTACATAACTCCACATGTGTTCATTCATAGTTTTGATGCCTTCAGTGAGAATCTACAATGTAAATAGTCATGAAAATAAAGAAAACGCATTGAATGAGAAGGTGTGTCCAAACTTTTGGCCTGTACTGTATATACATATATATATTTTACAACAGTGTGTTTTACTGCTGCTGTTATGTTAAATTCGCTCATAGATGTGTCCAGCTTGTCAGTCATGAGAGATTTTGCAACTTAACTAGCTGCTGTAAATCACTTTGGCTCGTTACATGATTAAACACCTCAACATTAATATTATCCAGCAATCATCATTACATATCTGCATATGACAAAATAACAGAAGAAAATAGAAAATTGTTAGTTTAACTGAATAGTTTTTTAGTTAAATTATAGTTTATGCAGAATAAGCATATCATTTGTCATAGACTGATACTATTTTACAACAACAGAAAGACATGATGGAGATGGGTTTGTCTTTTTGAGGGAGCACATATAAAATATTTGATTTAACGTGAGTTCTTCTTTGGATGTGGGCGTATTTCCAGGTGGCTATCGGGCCCCTCAACCCCACAGGCCCCAGTGCCACCTCACTGCCTGCACTGTCAATATTCACGCCCCTGTGTAGTGAGTCATTATGGGCTGCAGTCGTCTGGAATTTGCCATCATTGTTACATGCATGCAAGCACACGTTTGTCCATTGTAACCAGCATGGCACCAAGGAAACAGGCAGCACAAGAGCAGGGAAAGCGCTTTAGAAAAGGTTGAAGATATTTTTTAATGAGGTTACATTAATGATTAACTGATTGAACTGATAAATGAACTACCCATTTAAAAAACAAGCATGGCTCTCCCACCTGAACATGTCGGTGGAGTGAGGTCGGGGTTCTTGGTGTGTTTAAAGATCCACAGTTTGTAACATCATCTTTTCTATATGGAAATATAGCAGAGATCCAGAGCAAGTTCTAAGAGTAACGCTTAAAGGGACAGTTCAGATTTTTTAAAACGGGGTTGTGTGATGTTTTTATTCATAGTCAGTGTTTTACCTACAGTAAGTATCTGTCAGTTCGCCACCCCAGTTTGGAAAAAGGGCAGGGGGCTGGAATAGAAGCTAAGCAACATACTGCTGTTTATGTGGGTCAACAGCGAAATCTATTTTAACCACCTAAAGAAATCCTACCTAAAACAGTTTGTATTAGTTTAAGTTTATGCTATATCTGCTGCTTCACCTGTCTGTCAGACTTCCTGTTTCCAGTGGTTAAGCTGTTAATAGCTTCAGTTCCACATCTGTGCACTTTTCAAAACCACCAGACTCCATTGAGAAAACAGTAATTTTGGTTCGCTGAACACAGGAGCTCCTGGTTTACCACTGCCTTGATAATTTAGTTAGTTTGTGGTATTGTGTAACTTTGGTGAATCCGAACCAGGGATTTTAAACGCCAAAGTCACACAATAACACACAAAAATATGACTGGTGGAGGCAGCGGTGGACCAGCAGCTCCTGTGTGCAGCAATGTTAAATCACTGTTTTCGTCAATGGAGTCTGGCTTGTGATATTACGGCTTCAGTTCCCTGTCGGAAATCGCTGTCTGGCAGAAAGGTAAAGCAGTGAAAATACTCTCAGTATAGCTTATAGTTAAACTGATGTCTTCTCTTGGTAATCTACCATAAAGTGTCCCAAATTACCTGACTTCACTCCAGCTATTAAAATTCTACTTAGCTTGTGCTCCGTCCTGATGTCACAGCATATGTCTTACTATCCAAGAGTCTGTCTTACTCACCTTCTTTAGCAATCATCACACAAGGATCTATCTCCTGTAAACCAGCAATATGTTTTAAACTTGTCATGCCTGCAAGTCACTGTGAGTTAAAGGCAGGTAGAGTGACATCACTGCATCATCAGAGACATTGGCCCAACAGGCCTCCTCATAATAACAGCTTCACACACTGAGGTTGTAGGTATTGTGCAATCTGGGCACGCATCCACTACTCTGCAATGCACTTTAATGTTACTCATAAAATTCCTTGGCCTGTTATTCCCACAGCCTCCTGCCACCAAAATACACCATGGTGGGCGGCTGTGAGTAACTGTGAACCAGCTCTAACATTTAGATAACATGTCACTGGGAACAAACGCCGGCTCTGGTGGATCATCTGTTTGTCTAAATGAGCAGTGGCTCTTGTCTAAAGCTTTGTTAAACCTGTGCCAGTGAAGTTAGAGAGCCAGAGATCCAGGTGG